ATATTTTCACTGAATATGCAAAGTGATAAAGTCTCTTGAAGTGTGTAATAAGTATAATGTGACTTATCTGATCTGTGTACTAATGCCTTAACTGAATAAAAAAAAAAAATTAAATCCTTTGTACCAAGGACACTCCACTGAAGACCGGAGGTGCAAGTACAATGCAGTTTGTTTGCTTTCAAAACGATAGATAACACGAAATCCAACATAAATAGCTTGCTGTAGCATAACAGATAGGGGCTCACCAATCCTCGAGTTGTCACGTACACTCAAGGTGTCCCAGTCTTTTAACAAGTCTCTCTCGCAGCACTGCTGCTCCGGCCTCAATCTTTAGGGCCACTGTCTGGTTCCTCCAGACAACAGCAATAACATGCCAATCCTCTCAATATGGTTCACAAACCCGCAGCTCCCTGCTGCCCTGGCCTCCACACTGACTCCGGGGTGGAGCTCTCCTGACTCACAGGTGGGGGCCCTGAACACATCCCAGCACACACTTCATGAGGGATGTAAACAGGTGCACAATCAGGTGCTGGTCACCACCAAAGCATGGACCCAGGAATGGAGACTTCTTCCCACCCAGAGCTCTAAGAAATCTCCTGGCTCCAGGATCCCAACCTTGATCCAGAAAACCCAGAAAGAACTGAAAAGGCAGTTCTCTCCTGGTACCAGTAATGTCTTCCTGGAGCCACTCAGCCCCTCTGGCTGAGAACCCTGGGTGACTTTGAGGCCACCTAACACCGTGGTATTGCCTCACAATGCCACACCTTAAAAAGGCAAATATTAAATCATAATGAAAATACCACTTATTTATTTATTGAACCGTGTGCCTATGTACAGTGGAAGTTCAATGATTGATGAAAAGTAAAATTTGTCTTCAAGAGAAAAATTATTTTCTTGTGGCATACTGTGACACGTTGGGAATGTATCTCTGCAGACAAGTAGAGTTACTGATAGGCCCGCTTTAATGCACATCCAGCACTAAAGTGAAAAAGCAGCTGATGTGGTCAGCCTCTGATTCTTTCCAGGCAGGTGGGGATGAGAGCATGACAGAGGAGTAGTCAACTAGAGGAAGGACTGCAGAGTCAGCGTAGACACATACTGAACTCCATTTCATTTTATGTACCATAAGTAAATACTTAAAGCCAGGGGCTGACTGGCAACTTTTAGCCCAGGGGGCAAGTACAACCCAGAGGCCCATGGTGCGGCAACTAGGCCCCCTCCCGCTCTGCCTCTTCCCCGGACGCCCCTTTCTGACACTTTTGCCGTCCTTGTAACAGTAGTGTGAATGTATTTATCGGTTTAGGAAATGTAAAGCACACTACTTTTTTAATGCTCACCTGATCCCTGGATCCACCGACTATCCCACGCTGTTAGAAGCTGCATACGGCGCGTGCTGGTTACTACTTAAACTGGCGCGCGCTGTGTGCAGCTTCTGAGAAGATACGCTATTAGCATAGCGAGGAAGCCGGCTGCACATTTTGCAGGAGGGCAGGCGGCCGGGTGCAGGTGGCAGTGGCCAGGGGTCAAGGGGCCGTTCGCGGTGGCATCAGAGAGGCCCGGGGGGCAATTGCCCCAGTCCGCCCCTGCTTAAAGCCCAACTCTAGCTAAACCTCTTTTAGTTGGGAGTGGGGAAGGGTTAGAAACTCGGTCAGCTTATATGTACCAATTCTGCTACCCCACCTTAAGTTGAATTTTCGGGAATTCGTCCGAATTCCGAATGCGAATTCCCCATCCGAATCCCGAATCAGATCCGAATACGAATCCGATTCCCGAAACGAAACACATATACGATCCAAATTCCAAAAACGAAATCCGAAACTAAACGAAACAAAAAAATTTTTAGACGCTGCAGATGTCTAATTCTTATGAATAATAATTTTGCACAAGACCAATTGCATAAGTAATTGCAATTGCATAAGTAAACATACAACGCCTATTAAACAAAGACTATATAAAGCCTATTGACAAAAAATTTAATAGAATATGACCAATGGTTTTTGTGATCCTCCAAATATGTAAAAGTTCCAGTTCTATTCTTTTCTCAAGAGAAATTTATTTTCTCACTTTAATGAATGTCAGTTAAAACATGTATGTAATGAATTATACAAAAGCAGTGAACATCTGTTTTTTTTCTCCCAATTGGTACAATAAATCTACCATTGGAAGCGTTTAGTTATACCTGTTCGATAACTGCAGAAAACACTGGTTGATCCTGCTGCAAACCATGTGATCTGTTAACTTCCTGTGCTCCCCGCCTCTGCTGAATGTTATACGTTATCATGGTTCCCAACTACTCTATCTCTGTGGTCTACAGAATATCTCCCCCTTTGTTTAGGAGATAAAGGGTATTCTGTATTCCTGCCCTAGGCTGACAGCACTGCTCCTCCATAGATACAGCACAGTAAGTGAGCATTGCCAGCCTAGGGATGGAAGCTTGTTACTGGCACGATCATTAGGTGAAAAGTAACAACAAAAACAAAAAAAGATCAATCTAATGATTTTTGTTCTTGGGTCTGCTTTAAGTGAGGGTAAAAAAAAATCCAGATAGAGACCCCACACTGGTTATCTCAACAATGTTCTGTTTCTACAAGAATCTAACCAGTCCTCCGTATCTCTGAGGTTAACAGAGTCTACATACAGTACGTAATGTATAAGTCTCTACAAGTCCACAATGTGGCAGAAAAATTACCTTCGAGAGAATTTAGGACACATGGCAGTCCATGTGTTCATGATTTACCAAAGGTAAAAAAAAATGTGTCTGTCCCACTCCATTTACAGGAGAGTCAAAGTTGTCACAAATTCATTTCAGACACCTGCTAGAAGATTTCCCCACCCCACCGTAGACGTAATAATGTGCCTAAGCTCAAATGATGGAGCAGCTCTTTTAAGATAACACTCTTACCCCCAATCACAAAGGTATATAGTGCCTAAATATAACCCCACAAGGTTCAAACAATAAGTCGCTAACAGCTACCCATATCCACACAAACTATCAGAGCATGACTGTAAGATTTACATGATTTGTGCTTTATCAGCTTCTTTGGGGTCCATGGGTGACATTAGGGGTCTAATAGGCCCTCAATGTGCCCATAAGGAGGACCTACTTCAAATACAGATGTCACTAGCACACCAGCACACTGAGACTCTCAAGTCAGTGCAAGGTGGTTCACTATTTTACAGTGTCTACTCTGAGCCTGATGAAGGGGACCCTGTGTGGCCCAGAATCGCTTGATTTTCTGAGTGACATTATTTCATTAAATGCACTGACTTGAGAGTCTCGGTGTGCTGGTGACATCTGTATTTGAAGTTGTTCCATGTGCGGCGCCATCCACGGTCATTTCAAGCACCCATTATTGTCTTGGGATTTCCAGTAAGGAGTGCTACAGGATCTATGGATATTTGCACATAAGGAGGACCTGTCACTTCCTCTGTGCTATCACTTTGGGGCCTTGTTATCCCCCTTATGATAGCAATAAAGTTAAGTGTACATTTTCTTTTTTTCTTTAATCTACCACCTGCATGTACAACACACATCAAAATGACAGTTGCTCCACACATGATACAGATCGCCAAAAACATTGGAGGGAGAGCAATAATTCTAGGGCCATCACTCACTGTTAATGCAAAACTGAAAAGCAGTAAAGCATCACATATGGCCAATTTGGGGTACTGTAGTTTTATGCCATTTCACGGGGGCACGCAATTTTTTTGGCTTGACTTGTTTGTTATCTATTTACCCAACACAACAACTGTCTTTTATATTTTACCAAACAATTATTTTTGTGTTGCATGATTTTTTTGTGTCGCGTGCTATTCAGGGAAACATACACTAAAATGAATTTTAGTGTATTTTACCCTAAATATCATGTGACACAAACAATTGCAACTAGCATTTTTCATTTTATTCTACAGGGCCTCTGCTTTTAGAAAATATACAATTGTTTGGGTGTTTTAAGCTGTTTTCTAGGCAACATTTTAGATTTTATCATGCGTGTGCAAAGATATTGCTCAGGACAGGAAGCGGTTACTAAAAGGGTCGATCATGCCATTGAGATGGTAAATGTAAAAGTTGTTTGCTTATCAGGTTTCATCTTTTAGTCTCTGGAAAATAAAACAAGGATTCGAAGTGGCTTGAATGGGTGACAACTTCATTTTGTTTAACTTTCTCCTACTCTTTAGAAGTACCCCCAATTGTGTGTTGTTTTTGTATACCTGCTTAGTTACTGAACTTCCCTGCTCATTTTACATTTTCATAGTCAGATATCTCATGCCTACACTGACACCTGTTACACTGGGAGAGGCCCTAAAATGTTCATATTGCTAACAAGTGTAGCTCCAACCACTTGACAGACATGACTGCACTTATTCATAGGACACATATTCAGCATAATGCTGCTCGGAACTTCTTAGTCAGCAAATTTCCTGACCACAGACATGTTTTTCAGCCTTAGTTTATTTCTGTCAGCTGAAGCTCAATTGGCAAAATAAAGTATGGGATACACCAAAATATTATTTTCTGCATTGTAATAATGTACAGTATATGTACAGGAACGTATTTGCCATTTGCTCTATATACAGTACAAATCAATATTAATGATGTGTAAAAATGATGTGTAAAAATGATGTGTAAAAATTCAGGATTGTGCTTTGAAGCCCATGGATAATAAGTCGTACCCTACTGTGACCCTACTGTGACCTTCCTTACTGAATGAACCAATTTGCATAATGGTGAACTTTAATATTTCTGCTTTTTATCATGTGTTTATTTAAAGGTGGCACTCTAACTAGAGAATTTGTAACAGAGGAAGAACTGTTTATCCGTTGGTTGCAAATTGTCACATTTCTACCTGTGATGTCTTTTAATACACCTCCGTGGGTTTGCTGTGACAACTGGGTAAGCTTTATCAGCAATATTAGAACGTTAAAGCTGAACTCTAGACAGGTATAAATGACACACATTTAACATATTTATGTTTTTTTTTTTAATCCTTATATTTTCTTTTTAAATTCAACTTGCATAAGTATCTGAATCTACAATCTACATTAAAGTGACATTAAACTCAGGAGTTAAAGTGACATTAAAGCTAAAAATTCCCCCTTCCCCCAATGCTGCCGTAAGGACTTACCTTATGTGATGTCTCTTGATCCAAACAGCTACTTCCTTCCACTCATTTTCCAAAGTCCTTCCAGTGCTGGTGCCGGTCTCTGATCCTCCTCGGATCCCACGCTGTCTGTCTGACGTGAACGCTCCTGGCTGCCTGGCTTCGTCCATTCAGCTCAGTTCTGTGCCGCTCTCCTCTCCCCTCTGACGCCTTGGACTGCACGTGCGCCCGCCCACACTTCCTCCTTTACAGCGTGCGGGAGGCGGGACTTCTGCAGCGGGAGCAGGTAAGTTTGTTGGTATTTGCCAACTTATTTTTTTTTTTTATGTTGGGGCATATATCTACTGCTTACTATCAGTAGATATATGCCAAAAAGGACACTTTAATTGTACTTTAAACCTTTAAAATTTATTCAAGTACCTTAAGGCTAGGCTCAGATCTGAGCAATTCCGGAACGCGCATCCTGGGACCGCGCAATCGTGTTTGGGTGCACACAGCGATTGCCGCTTGGCCTCATTGATCTCAATGAGGTTACATCCGCGCAGGATTTGCTAAAAAGAGATACAAGTACCTTTTTTTGCGACACACAACGTGCGGCTCTTTTAGCTGCAATCATGTTCAATTGCACGGGCATAATCGCGGCGGTAAACCGTGCGATCCGCCCAGTGCCATTAGCAAATAATGCCATGCGGTCACGGATCACCCAGGAACCTAGCCTTACTATTAACAAAAATGTATCTTATTTGTGTATCACTCGGCTGTAGATCCTCAAATCATCTCTGAATTGGTGCTGACACTGTCCTTCCTTCTGGAGGGGGGCTACTTTTGATCCTAATGGTCCCTTTGTGTGTTGTAAAGTAGCCACTGCTCCAATCTCACTCCCATGATGGACTACAATCCCATGTTTAGTTTACTAATTTGTATTGAAGTTATAGCCCATCACGGGAGCAAGCTTGGAGCGGTGGCTACTTTACAACACACACAGGATCCATTGGTCCATGGGGAACAAAAGTAGCCACCGTCCAGAAGGAAGGACAGTGTCAGCACCAATTCAGAGATGATTTGAGGGTCTACAACTGAGTGATACACATATAAGATACAATTTTGTTAATAGTTAGGATACTTGAATGCATTTTTATGATTTAACTCCTGAGTTTAGAGTCACTCTAAGTTCTTGCACTGCCCTACTCAGCAGGAAGGGAAGCGCTGTAAGCCACTGTCAGATTCGACTGCCTTTCACAGTGCTGTCAAATCAATACTGGAAGATTACTGACACGAGAAGAGCATACACTGATGACTTTACTGGTGGCTTTATACTCTTTTGCTGCTAATCAGCAGGTTAGGGTAGGATCGGTTTTATCAATTAAAATGTATCTTTCAGTCTGCTTTTTAAATTTGCCCC